AAAAAAGGAAAATTAGGAATCTTCTTTTTCTTTTTTTCTTTTTTAAAGATTTTTTATTTATTTATTTGACAGACACAGCGAGAGAGGGAACACAAGCAGGGGAGGTGGGGGAGGGAGAAGCAGGCTTCCCGCTGAGCGGGGAGCCCGATGCGGGGGCTCGATCCCAGGACTCTGGGATCTTGACCTGAGCCGAAGGCAGGCACTTAACGACTGAGCCACCCAGGCGCCCCAGGAAAATTAGGAATCTTAACTCTACTAATTTTGTTGTAAATTTTAAGAAGTTAATGGGATACTTTAATGTATGTATTTGTATATATCTACATATCTATATATCAAGAGTGAAAGAAATATTTCAAACATCCGGAAAAGTACAGAAACTGTTTTGATAAACACCTGTGTACCCCGTCTATTAAATCTTAATGTTTCTTCCCAGACTTCTCTGAGTGTATGGAATAGCCATCAGTGACTTAGAGGTGATACAGGTTAATCATTGTGAAAGAATACTAGTTAGTGAGCTGTGGTGTGACTCCCTTAGACCTCAGTGTTGCATATTTTTCTGATTCATCTCTTAATGCCATAAGTTTCCTATTAATATATAACAGTGAACCTTCCCCCTTGTCCTCTTTTTTAAAAATTTTTATTTTTTTAAAAGATTTTATTTATTTATTTGACAGAGAGCGAGCGAGAGAGGGAACACAAGCAGGGGGAGTGGGAAAGGGAGAAGCAGGCTTCCCGCTGAGCAGGGAATCTGATGTAGGACTCGATCCCAGGACCCTGGGATCATGACCTGAGCCAAAGGCAGACGCTTAACGACTGAGCCACCCAGGCAGCCCTCCCCTTGTCCTCTTACCTAAAGCAGCTTTGGAAGAATGGAACATTTCTTATACGAGCCACCTGGATTTACATGTTACTCCTATAGGGCATATGTTGTATTTGTGACTAATAATTTCATTCCAGTTTGCTGCAGATTATAATAGTGAAAAGAAAACAGATTTTACATCCTGGAGCTGTTTCTTTCTGGTTTGGACAAGTTATTTAACCACTCTGTGTGCTCTGTTAATACCTTTTCCATAGAGAAGTTCTGAGAATTAAGTGAGCTAATGTAAATAATTGGCACACAGAAGTTGCTCAAGACGGGGGCACCTGGGTGTCTCAGTCGGTTGAGCGTCTGACTCTTGTTTTCGGCTCAGGTCATGATCTCAGGGTCATGAGATCAAGCCCTCCTTGGGGCTCTGTGCTGGGCGTGGAGCCTGCTTGAGATTCTCTCTCCTTGTCCCTGCCCCCCCCTTCTGTGTGCACATGCACTCTCTCTCTCTCTCTAAAAAAAAAAAAAAAAAAAAAGAGTTGCTCAAGAAGGGTTACTTTAATATCACAAGCCTTCTTTGACATGGTTGATCTTGCTGAAGTCTGATTTCTAAATGAGGGGGGGTATTTCTGCACAAAAATACTCAAGACTTCTCTTCACCCCCCTCCCCAAACAAAGCAGATTTTAACATTAAACTGCTGATTGTTTTCTTGTACTCTTGGTTTCTTTTTGTACCTAAGGTCTGATAGACACATAACAAGTGCTTTGTGAACCTTAAACTAAGTGAAAATAGATTGTTCAGATGAAAGGTATGTGGATAAGTCAGTTTTGGGGCTATTCTAGAGATCTCTTGCCAGAACTGGTATCTTTGTTTTGGTCTTCGGAGACTATTAAATGTGATCACTGAGTCATACTTGCTGTTTTCTCTGTCCCCTGGCTATCTCTCTTAAGATTTTGAAGCTTGCCAGCCAAAGGATGTTTAAAAGGCAGAGTAGGCTTTAGCCCAGGGGAGTTTGTTTATTTAAAGAAAAATAAGTTCAAACATCCCTACCATGTCATAGCTAGTCTAGTCATGTTAGAGTTAGTGAGTTCTTTTGATTCTTTCTGGTGGTCATGGTGCCTAAAGGTAACAAATTTGAAAGTAGTTTAAACTTTTCCCGAGATTACTTGGAACTTTATAATGTAATCCCAAAGAGAAGTCCCTGAAGGAGTGGGAGGAAAGGGCCATTTATTTTGCTAGTTGTTGTTTTTTAATGGGACTCATTTATTTATTTATTTTTAAAGATTTTATTTATTTATTTGAGAGAGCGAGAACATGAGCAGGGGGGAGAAGCAGACTCCCTGCTGAGCAGGGAGCCCGATGCGGGGCTTGATCCCAGGACCCTGGGATCGTGACTCGAGCTGAAGGCAGATGCTTAACCGACTGAGTCACCCAGGTGCCCCTTTAATGGGATGCATTTAATTCACATCATTTACCACTCCTTCCTAGAGTTACAATACAGATGATTTAAAAACGAAACAACAACCCAAAAACAAAAAACAAAAAACAAACCCACACTATTGTGCTTCTTTATCATGCTATATCTTCATTAATTCTTCAAAGTTGGGACCATGAGAATCTTTTAAAAGGGACAGTATAGTTCTCCAGATATTTAGACACAAAGATATGGTAGTTGGTGACTTTATTATCATCTCCAAAATACTTCTCCTTACATATTCTCTGCCAGATAAGAAAATCTGAGGCAGATATTTTGCCTAGGGTACCAGGACCTATCTCTTGATGAGATCACTTGTAAAAACCAAGTCCTAGAGGAAGTGGAGAAGGAATAAGACAGAGAGATACCTGGTGTTCCAGGCAGAGGGAAAGACAAGTCCTGAGGCCCTGAAGGGAGAAGGTGCTTGAAGTGTTTAAGGAAAGGCAAGGGGCCAGTGTGGCTGGAATGGAGTGAACAAGGGGGAAAGTGGTAGGAGATGATGTCTGAGAGATGGGGAAGGGAAATATCAGATCATGGTCCTTAAGGCCTTTGTTAGCGATTTTGGCTTTTAGAGTAGTGAGATGGACTCAATTAGAGGGTTTGAGCAGAAGAATGACATGATCTGACTTTCTTTTGAAAAGGATGAATCTGACTGACTTATTGAGGTGAGCAAAGGGAGAGGCTGGGAGATCAGATAGGGAACTATTAGAGTAATGCAGATAGAACTAAGGTGGCATGGACCATGGTGGCCAGAATGGAAGTGTTAAAAGTGTAACATTATGGATGTCTTTTGAAACTGGAGCTCCCAGGATGAACACTTAATGCGTAGCGATGAATATTTCTGCACATAGTGTTTGACCCATTTTTAAATGATGTTATTGCTGGATTCAAATTTTGTCTACTTGATTTATCCATTATAAAGTTTCCCATTAGTCTTTTACCTAATGGTTTTAGCAACCATTGATCATTTTTTAGATCCGTTTTTTCATTGTGTTACAAAATGATGATTTTCTAATCTTCCTTCTACATTTATAATTTGGAATCCTATAAAAAAGAGCTTTCACTTATTGGCTACTTGGTTACCCTAAGGTATTTTTCATATAAGAAAGCCAGGATAAGTGCTTGATTCTTTCCCTTTATCAACTTTCAGAATAATAAGTTAGTGCTGTAGCAGCCTCTAAAGATGACCATGATTTTTTAAAAATATAAATGTTTCGGGGGCTCCTGGGTGGCTCAGTCAGTCTAGCATCTGACTCTTGGTGTTTCGCTCAGGTCCTGATCTCATGAGTCATGGGATGGAGCCCCACGTTGGGCTCCATGCTCAGTGGAAGTCTGCTTGGATATTCTCTCCCTCTGCCCCTTCCTCCGCTCACGTGCGTTCTCTTTCTCAAATAAATAAATAAATCTTTAAAAGAAAAAAATTATTTAATGTTTCAATGGTAGTCATTACCATTTTGATGTTCAAAATGTCATTATCATTTGATGTTCATTTGATCTTAAAATATGTCTCCAATGTAAAAACTGTAAAACAAGGTCTGAGAAGTCTGACTTCCATCCCTGTCCTTCCATCCTGCTTTCTCTTTTTTCCGTAGATAATCATTTAAAAATGATTTTGGTTTATCCTTCCAGTGCTTTTTTCCTTTTGAAAGAAAAAAACCTCAAGTCTATATTAATATTTGTAGTCTTCCCATTTTTTCCTTTCTTTTCTTTTCTTTTTACAAAAAGAATAGCATTGTGTGTAATACTAATTCAGGTATAGCATGGGAAGTAGGGAACTACTGGTCTCGTTGAGGGTTATTCTTGAAACTTGTCAACTTTTTATTCCATGTAAAAGAGTTTCTTATATTCTTAGCTATCTCCACAACAAGCAGCTAAAGAACATACATGTTAAAAAAAAAAGCCTACTTGCAACATTTAGCAATATTTAGCAAAATTATATATGTAGCAATTCCCCTTTTAGAAGTTTTCCCCAAAGATTGCAATAACAAAATTACAAAGTGATATGTGCCTCTGTTCTGGCTTGTACCTATGGCTTTGTTTACTGAGGAGAAAACAGTAACGATGATGTTAGTTGGCATTGATATCATTGGTGTATGCATGGAAGAAATGGCGTTTTGAGAATTTGCCATTTTGAAATAGTCCCAGGTTAAATATCTCATCAATTAAAATTACATCACTCATCAGTTTATTCTTTCAATAAATATTTACTGAGCACTTACTGCGTGACAGTCATTGTCTTAAGTGCTCAAAAGATATCAGTAAATAAAGCCAATAAAAATCTCCTCTGGAGCTTCCTTTCTATAGGTGTGAGGGGGAAAGAGACAAACACGCATCATCAGCTAATTTATTGTTTTCAAATGTAGAGTTTTAGGGCTCCCCTTCTACATCTTCCTTTTTTCTTTTTCCAGTCTGTAAATGGTATTCTTAGGAATTTCAAGACCCTGGTGTTTGGAAGGCATTGAGGACTGAAGAATTTATAGATCTTTATACTCAGTATGTGTAACCTAACTGTATAATTCTGGTCCTGTGGGATGATAGCATATATTCCATCTCTCTCACTCTCTCTCACCTCATCCTCAGCCCTGTTAATGTTTTTTATTAGAAGGTTGCTCAAGAAATTTTTATCAAAAAATTGATAGACACTAAAATTTAGAAGATTGTCCTTAAAGATTTGATGTTTTTGTTATAATATATTCTTAATGACTACATCTTTATTTCAGAAATGACCATTAAGAAGTAGATGCCCAGATACAAAAGTGATGAAACAGTCAATTTGTCATAAAGTAAGATGCAGCTGTGGCTTTTCAACCAGATTAGTAAGTGTGGCCAAAATTTTTTTAAACTTTATACTTATTTTATCTACTTTGAAAAGCATTGAATAAAGAGTATAGTGGACTTAAGTGTCAACTTGTATTTCTGTTTTTACTTTGGATTGTATTTCTGTTTTTACTTTGGTTTGTAGTACAAATTAGAGCATGTAGCTCTAGAAAATGTATGTCTGTGTTGTAATAAAACAAATACAGTTGAATATAGGCTTAATTGCTCTTGATTTTTTAAATCCTTTTCCCTATATTTATTTCATATCTTTTCTTGATTATTACAAGATTATCACAAATTTATTAACTCCTCCTTTACTACCTCAGAATTTGCAAACAAGGTACACCTCATCTTATGTACCTTTTTAAGAACCATAAAGGTAATATTATAAAATCATAGCTTTAGAGGAAATATATTAAAAAGAGTCACCATAATACCACTGTCCGAATACAGCTACTTTTAAAATGTTTGGATATTTGTTTTCCTTCCCAGTCTCTGTTCTATACATTAAAAAAAAAAAAACATCATTTTGATCATAGTGTTGTGAAGATTATGTTTCTTTTATATCTTTTAAAATTAAATTTGTTTCAGATGTTTCTCCCTGCAAATAAAAATGTACTCTTCAGTACAGGGTTTCTTACTGGGGTAATGAAAATGTTCTGGAATAATATGGCGGTGATGGTTATACAACTTTGTGAATATAGTAAAAAACCACTAAATTTTACACTTTAAAGGGGTGAATTTTATGACATATGGATTATACCTAAAAACTACCCTTCAGGATACTAAATCTTGGTAAGAGTAAAACCCAATTGAGTACTGATGTTTTAGAATATGAAAATGTGCTGAGACATTACGATGTACCTAGAAGAAATGATCTGATAGAATACTGTTTTTGTAATAAAAATAATAACTTTTATAAATACTTTAATAAAAATATTAAAATACTTTTATTATTAGAGACTTATTGTCTCTTAAGTTTTGGTAATACCAAATGTCATGGTATTCTGAATGTACTCCATCACCATTTTGCTAACTTTTTATTTTTAAGAGGCTTCCTGTTTTGAAACTAACATTTCAACTTTTCTACCTGAAATTTTTTTAGGAACAGAATTGTATCTGTTTTTCTCAGAAGAGAATTCCACAAGGTAAGAAATTGTTAATATAGTAATAAAACAAATATAGTTGAATATAGGCTTAATTGCTCTTGATTTTTTTAATCCTTTCCCTTATATTTATTTCATATTTCTTGATTATTAGAATTATTATTAGATTATTACAAGATTATCACAAATTTATTAGCTCCTCCTTTACTACCTCAGAATTTGCAAACAAGGTGCACCTCATCTTATTTGAAGTTAAGATTAAAAGGGTGTGATAAAAGTAGTCACCTTTGGAACTCAAGTACTGCTTTTCATGGCATCCTTATTCTTAGCATTATTAAGGAACTTAGCATCCTTAGGATTGGGTTTGTCCATTTTAGGAAAAAAGTTTTCTTCTTCCCTTGGGGCCCATTCAACTTTTACCTCAGTGGACATTACCTAAATGACTTGGGGTGGTAGAGGAGTCCTAGAAGCTCTTTTAGGGACTTTAAGTTAAGGGAGATTATTTACCTATGTTTCCACCAATGAAAATTACAGAACTCCTACATTTAGTTTAAAAAGTGGAATGCTTTCTACTAGGTAGATAATAAAATATTTAGTCACATTTAGTATTAAAAAAATCTGATCATCTTTACAATGAATTTTAAATCAACATTGATTTAGATTGTTATACTTTTTAGACTTCTGAAGGATGAAATGTTCAAATGAGTAGATAGTAAAATCACCTATTGGTGTGCTTAAAATCAGTTGCTTGGCTGTAAGAAGTTACATTGTTTAAATTTTCTCAGGAACTCTTTGGTACAGGTAGTAGTGATCACTGCAGATGAATTTAATCTGTCAACTGGAAAATGCTTATAAAGTGAATTATTCAGATCAGTAACTCTTTCTCATTTATTGTCCTTTGTGCTGAGGGGAACATGCACTCTCAAACACATCTTTCCCACCTATTTTTGAAATTGCTACAGGTTTAATCAGGTCAGTTTTTATCCTGATAACTGAAAACAAAGGGTTAAAATAAAGAGACCCGTTGGCTGCTGAGGAGAGAATGGGTGAGCAAAGCATCATTAGTTTTCACTTCCAAGTTTCTTGTGAAGCTTTTCCCCTATATTCTTCTTCTGTCTCTAGAGGGTAAAGGGAGGGAGTTGTGGAACCTGTGTGTAGCACTATCTGATCCTCCAGGGCACTACTCAAAGGCAGTACTTCAGGAGAAATCCAGATCGTTCTTTTCCTGGACCATTGTGCTTAAAGTGAAAAGAGAAATTTCAGAAGATTTAATCATAGTGAACTTGATCTGTTACATTCTGTCCCTGTTCTTTGGGCAAATGAAGTTTGAATTCTTAAACATTAATACAGTCTATGATACAGTGATGGTGGATCGTACTACTATCTGGTACCCTTAGGCCTCTCCTGTAAGTGTTGGGTAAATATTTATTTTTATAAAAGCCGAGATTCTTTCATAGCTTTTTTTTTTAAGATTTTATTTATTTATTTGTCAGGGAGAGAGAGAGCACAAGCAGGGGGAGCGGCAGGCAGAGGGAGAAGCAGGCTCCCCGCTGAGCAAGGAGCCTGATGTGGGACTCGATTCCAGGACCCTGGGACCATGTCCCGAGCCAAAGGCAGACGCCCAACTGACTGAGCCACCCAGGTGTCCCCATAGCTTTTTCAGAGTAGAAGATACTCAAGGCAAGATTATTCATATCTATATAGTATCATCCTCCTACACAGTCAGAGGTATTAAAAGGACAATGACAACTTTAATAAAAATTACTGTTCACTGTACACTAGCAAATAGTTGAAATGATAAATTTTATGTTACATATGCTTTACCACAATTTAAAAATTTGTTTAAATTTTTGAGCAACTCTGTTTACTATGAAAGAGGATGGTTATGTTTCAAGTATCAGTTTTTAACCTCAAGTACAGGAGTATTGAGTTAATGATATTCCTCAGTTTGTGTCATACCCATCATCATTGGTTCATTAAAGGACTGTTTTTCTGTTTTCCTTTATAACTAGTCCCCATATAAGTGACCTTTTAATATATTTGATATGTATCCCTTTATGTCTTATAAAAGGTTTTATTATTTCATGTATTTTAAATTATACATTAGATCTTAGTCGAATTCTTGTAGTCCCCTTCACCTACCTCCCTCTTTATTTCTAAGATTAGGCCACGTTGCTGAGTGCTCATCTAATTTGTTTTGTCTAACTGGTACATTGTGCTTTAGGTTATTTATTAAAATGAAACTGTTAATGTAAATTTCCTTAAGTGTATGAGGAACATTAAATGAGCATTTAAGAAAAGTCCCAATTTGTGGTCATTTTTTTTATATCAGAATTGAATCTGAAGAATGGAATTAGATGCTGTGGAAGATAAGAGGAAATATAAACATCCGTTCCAAAGGCTAAGAGTCTGTTAGAACAATCAAAGGAAAGAATTGTGGGGCCTAACAAAAACATGTATTTTTCTTCTAGAAACAGTGTGTTAAAATGCTCGAATCTCCAGTATTAGCCACAAAAACTTAATAGTTGAAAGATAGCAGTAATATTTTGGAACTTCTGCATTACCTATTACTTTTTAATTTCTACATTGTATTATATTTGAACATTCATCTTTTTTTTTCTTCTATTTCTTTGAGGCATAACTATGTTCTGTGAATTCTCATCACTGAATCTAATACAGAGTAAGAAGAGTACAAATGCCGGTTTCTAAATTTGGTATGCAGAAATGTAATTTCATCTGTAGTAGCACATTATCAGCAAAAGCAACTTCTCTTGGATCCCCTAACTAGAAACTACCAGAGAGTGGGAACTTTAGAAGCTCCAGGTCCATGGTGATGGTATGTCTTGCAGCAATGAAGAGGAAAGAGAGAGGAACACTCCTATGAGAGGAGAGGGTGATCCCTGACTTTAGAAGAAGGATAATGATAGCTGTGATTGGATCATTTTTCTATCCAACAGATAGAAAAATCTAAAGGTACCTTGTGGGGAGCAGTTTGTGTGGGAGGAGGATCTTAGGGGCACTTAGTTCTGGGGGCTAAGAGAAAATGTGTTACTGATTCAGTAATGGAATGGAAAAGGGGTAAGAGAATTCATGTTTGCTAAAAGTGAAGTCAATGTTGAGGTTTATTTATTTATTTATATATCAACACCTAAGTATTTATAAGATCTTTGATGGGAAGACCAGCAACTCTGCAAGTTGTTATTGAGTTAGTATCCCATGCATTGTTGAATACTCCCCACACAACAGTTCAGAGAATTAGACATCAGGTAACATAGTCCCTTTTTCTAGTTTCATTAGTTTCTGAGTATTTTATACGGCATAGTAATTTCATTATTCTCACTTTGTTATCTTAAGAGATGGCATAAATAAAACAGTATTTTCATTTTACAAATGATGAAACTAGGAGCGGAGTGAGCTTTAGGTTCTTTTTACTAATCTGTACTGCCACCCTGTCAACTGATATTTTCTCGATATAGAATATTTAATTACTAGTTTTAACATAAAAAATGTTTCTAACCTGGAAGAACCTCGTAGCCTAAAAAGTTTTAAAAACACACATATACCAACAAAAATCTAGCCAACGAATAATTACTGAGAGTCACTTAACCTTAAGGTTCATTAAAATAGCTTTAATAAACTAACTTGAATTTTGTCCTCTACTGTTATATAGAACATTATTTCAAAAATCATTCCAATTTGGGGCACCTGGGTGGCTCAGTCTGTTAAGCGTCTGCCTTCAGCTTAGGTCATGATCTCAGGATCCTGGGATCCAGCCCCACGTGGGCCTCTCCACTCAGCGAGGAATCTGCTTGTCCTTCTCCCTCTGCTACCCACCCCCACTCATGCACTTGAGCGCTCCCTCTCAAATAAATAAAATCTTAAAAAAAATTTCCAACTTATAACAAATGCCATAAATTTAATTTTTTTAAGTTTAGAATATGCCTGTTTACTTAAGGATTAGGTGTCTAGTTTTGATGGATGGGAGAATTAGAATTCCCAGTTTGTGGGAATGGAACGAGCAATTTGATCTCACATATTTCAGAATATGGTAATCCCTTCCCCCCAGATCATTTGTTTGTAGTATGAAAATCAGGAAAAGTGTGTTATAAACCTGTATCTTTTCTCCTGAGTGACTTAATTTGGTTCAGGCCCAGCTTTAGTGGTATAAGTACAGATCAAGTTTGGTTTTGAGTAATCCAGTTTTATCCTGGGGCATTCTAGGTCTGGAGTGCCTTTGGATATACTAACCATTTGGTTTCAATACCTCGTTGACATTTGATCCTGTGGAAAGATTGTGAGAGATTTCACATGTAGGTGGTGGGATAAAGGAACACAGATTGACTCATAGTCTATTGAGTAGATTGGAGTTATAGGACTTTGAAGTTTAGCAGTGTTATTGTTATTCAAAAATAGGCTATGGTGTTAAAAAGACAGGTCTTCTGACTCTGATTTCTTACTGTATATTAAGACTTCAAATGTAATTTAAGTAAATTTGAACTTTAAAAAATGTGGATAACTTTATCTTTTTATGAAAGAATACAGTTATTTCAGATACCTTTTTTGTTTCAGGTTCCAGTCTTTAGAATTCCATATGAGCTGCCTTTTTTTTTTTTTTTTAACTGCTTGCTTTCAGATTTAAAAAAGAAAAACAAAACCAAAAAACCAAAAACTCAGAATAGGTTGAAACTTGACACAAATTGCTGCCACAGAACAAAAGTGCTGATCAAGTTAAATCAACCCCTGTAATGTGTATTGAAAGGAAAACCTCTCCTCTCTCTCCCAGTTTGAAGAACAAGCATTTTTCCTGCCAAGAAGGGCTGACTTTAAATGGACCAGCTGTCCATATTAGGAGCATTGGGTTGCTAAGGTGACCATGGCTGTTTGGAGAAGAATGCAGCTGAGAGGGCAAGTTCTTGATGTGTGAGCTGAGGGAAGGAATGTGGTGTGATTGTGCATCATTCCTCCTAATCACATGCTCACAAAGTGCTGTGTGGGCAGCATGTAGAAACTACAAATCTGAGTGCTAGAGCTTGTGTGTGGTT